GGTGGGAAAGAATGGTGTGTGTGTGTGTGTGTGTGTGTGTGTGTGTGTGTAAGACATAAAGAGAGAAAGAGAGATATTGATATCAAAGTTAGGTTAGAATTAGAACACCTTTCTTTTCAGAGGACCTCAAACTTTAAGACTTTTAACTTATTTGGCAAGAACCCACAAGCTAGAAGGATAATCTGATTGCTTCAATTAGTATAAAATGCTAAGCACATCTAAATGTACTATGAAAGCACCTTTGGAGCGATACGGAGTTAAAAATATGGGCACTACAGCTAAGTCATGTTTTTATATCAAATAAGCATGTAACAGATTAAACAGAATTATCACTGAAAATAAATATGGAAAAATAAATAGTAATAAATGCTCTAGGAATGTATAAACTTATTGATCCAATGAAGGTCTGCAGAGAGGGGAATGGAACTCTTCTTATGTTTCTAAGTCAATAAACTGATCAGAGGACAAGAACCCTAAATGGAAGGGAAGACGCTGCAAGTGGAGAACAGAGGAGAGGAAATGACTGTGGGAGTTATCAGCACATAGGGATTAGTGAAGAATTTCATGTGAATTTGTGAATTTGGCTTAGTGGTAGTGTGCTCAAATCTACCAGGGGCTGGATTCGATCGCTGCCATCAATACAACTGTTTCCCTCAGTCTTTAAATTTTGCTTTACATTGTTAGAATATTACTACAGGCTGTAGTACTTTGTAAGTTTTACTAAACAGTACATTTGACTCTTTAAACAAGATTTTTAGATACTTAAATAATAGTGTGAAGATTGTTAGAAGTATGTTTAAAAATTATTTTTTGAGATTTAAAAAAAACTATTTCATTTATTATTTTTATTTTATATGTATTCAAGTATTGCCTGTGTGTAGGTAAGTACACTGGTGTTGTGCAGTGCCCATGGAGGACAGAAGAAACTCTTGGATCCCCTGGAACTGGAGTTTCAGACAGATGTTAGCTGCCATGTGGGTGCTGGGATTCGAACCTGGGTCTTCTGCAAGAATGACCTGTGTCTTTAACCACTGAGCTATCTCTCCAGCAACATTTTTTCTGAGATTAAAAAAAAATTATTGAGATTTTAAAATTTCATACATTTCCCACTCAAATCCAGACTCCCCTCTCCCATCTATGCCTTCCCTTATCCCCTCACTGAACCCTATGCACTCTGCCATACATGCTGAGTCTTACTCATTCAGGTGTTTTATACCCAAGTGTCCATCAATGTAAATGCATCCATTGGAGTCTAGTCAGCCTATCCAGTGGTAGTATGTAAGTCATACTCTCGCTCACCCAGCAGCAATCAGTTTTAAATTGTTCTCAATCTAGTGCTGGCCTGCCACCTATTTTTCACCTCCCCTTTGGGACCTTGTTTCATTGGGCTCACATGGGTCCCACACTCAATGCCAGTACTCCCACAGGTTCACATGAGCAAGCCTTCAGTGCCCTGGAAGCATCCACTTCCCTGTAATCGTGGACCAGCCCTGGCTCTTACAATCTTTCTGTGTCCTCTTCTGCAATGGTCCTTAGTTTTTTAAAATTTTATTTTAGAGAATTCCTGGAAACAAACATAAGTATGTCAAAAACCAGTAAAATTTAGATATTTGCTAATATTTCACTGTATGTTATAATCTAAGATTTATCATTATTATTCAATAAAAATACGTTTTAAAAATACTAATAAATTAGAAAACAGTGTTTCTCAGGGCAGCACATTAGCCAGGTGCACCTCATCTTTTCTTTTCAATGGACAGCCCTGAAAACAGTCAATGCTGTTGTCAGAGGACATGAATGCAGCTCTAACTCCTATGGGTGTACAAACCCCATCCCAGTAAATGATCTTACTGTAACATAAACATTGTAAGCAGTTTTAAAGTCTGTTCCATTTTGTATATTCTCTCATATTTGCATGGTCACAACTATAGGTATTGTTTATACTTTA